GCTACTGCTACTGCTACTGTACACGACAGTAGTACTACTGTCTACTAGTACTGCGACTACTACTACTACTACAACTACTACTACTACTACTACTACTACTACGACTACGACTACGACTACGTCTACGACTACGACTACGACTACGACTACTACTACTACTGCTACTACTACTACTACTAGTACTTCTACTACCACTACTACTACTACTACTACTACTACCACTACTAGTACTAGTACTAGTACTAGTACTTCTACTACTCAATAATGCTACCAATGCTACTAGCTTGACAGGTATTTTTTCAAGGGCAGTCACTGTCATTATGATCGTTATAGTTATAATACCACCATGCTCAGTCGCATTGTAATTCTATTTCTGCTCTGACTATGTATTGCTACTTTTCTCGTTGAAAGCGTTCTTGTCATCGATGTATGACCCCTAAACCTAAACCCTAAACCCAAAACCTCCCCTCGAGCCGAGGTTTGGCATGATCCTGCGGCACGAGACCGTCCGGGACCGTGGCCTGCTTCACAGCATCGACACAGCCCAAGCGGCCATGGACTTCTGCAGGCTTCAGGGTTTCGGGTCTTCAGGCATGTGGGCCTTTACGGTTTCAGCTTTTGGGTCCAAAGTTTCACAAGTTAATTGCGACTGACACGGTTCCATCATCTTGTCATCACTCCTAGTCGCATTGAATTGAACGGTTTTGGGTTGGAGCCCATGTTTTCTTCTGTACTCACCTCCCAGCAATGAACACCCACGTCGACTCATCCGGACTGTGTTGATCCGGATCCCAATGTTTGAGAGATAGTACAGTGTTGCCGATGCGGAAGGTGCCGTGATAATTCTCAACTTGAAGGATTGCACCTTGACTCCCTGGATGAGCAGCCCAAATCATAAAAATCTTGAAGTTTTACCACCATACTGTTGCAGCAGCATTCCTTGAACGGGATTGGCATGTCTTACAAGAGGCAACGTTCTCGTCTGCGCGACTCAAGTTGGTTGCTGTTGTGGCCAGCACATGCAGGTTGGACGGGGTTGTCTTTATCAGCCACCAGTGGGCTGGATACAGCCATCCTGATCCTTGGCTACATGTGGGTGGTTGTCAAAATTATGGTCCCCTTTTGGGTCCTTATTATAATACGGCACCTATTATTTAGGGTACCCCAAAAGGGACCATAATTTTGACAACTACTCATGTGTCATTTGTCACTATTAACAAAGCCATGAAACCCTATCGACAAAACCCACGTTTGGTTGTGTGACCTCTTCAATAGGGCACCAAGAGCTGCCAAGGATCCTTATGGCACGAAGTACGAAGCTATAGGCAAGGCTGTGCGCGAGCTTCAAAGACGAGGTGTCCGAGCAAACTGGATATGGCTGGAAGCTTGGCTATCAGAGCAATATGAATGTTGGTACTAGAAGTTACTGGAAACTTTGAAACAAGTATTACTGTCATCATACACACATGCTCGTGCCTAGTGCCCCTACACATACGGTACATATTTAAGTGCACATAATACACGTTTGTATATATAGATAAGCACACTTACAGATATACATACGTACCTATGTACATATGTATGTATGTACGTACACATACATACATGCGTACATACATATATACATACAAACATACAAACATACAGACATGCATACATAGGTAGATACATACATACATGCGTACGTAAGTTGCATACATACGTAAAAATGCGGATTTGAGCAACCTGCCTGCATAGATTTTGTACATTCGAGAAGGACTTGTTGAAGTAGCCGTCTCAACTGCTGCAGCTCCTTTACAGAAAGGGTCCAAGTACTAATATGGTAGCTACTTAGTAGATATTTGGGCCCCCAAAGTATAAGCTATACTATTACTGGGACCCTTTGGGTTACAGAACAGAGCTGAGGACTACTGCTGCATCCCACAGGAGAACAATGTCCAGCAGCAGAGTGCCATCAACTCCATGTTTGCCTACACCTCCTTTTGCACGACCTTCCTTTCTCTAGCGCCAACGTGCACGCACGTAGATTCAGGCCCGGAGGGCAGCCTTGGTTAGGTGCTTTCTGATGCTCTCTGTCCTGTTCGCAAGGGGTAGAGAGTTGCTGAGAAAGCCTGGGCATGTGTAAGGGGCACCCTATGGCACCCTTAAGTTCGCAATTAGTTGGTGGGGTCACGGTTCAGCTCCGAATAACCTCATAAAGCTCATGCTGCAGCGCAAACATTAAAGGCAAGTACCAAGGCGCCCGAAGTTTAAAGCGACACCCGCGCAAGAACTGTCGCAAGGAGTGGCAATTGCTCGCTTAGGGCTAAGGGTGTGGCTTCTTGAGGTTCTAGGACCCTAAACCTAAACCCTAAACGCTAAACCCTAAACCTAAACGCTAAACCCTAAACCCAAAACCGAGTGTTCCAGTGCTTCCTCCCATCGGATCCCGGGTTCCTTCTTGCAGGGATCTACTTGGAGGTTCATGGGCTTTGGGGGGTTCCTTTAAAGGGATTCTTAAAGGGTTCTATAAGGGATCTATATAATAGGGTATAGGGGCCCTTACTTGGAGGTTCATGGGTAGTTATAAATGGGGTGATAAGTCCCCTAATATGGGTTATAACTACAGTTACCCTACTTATAACTCCACTTATAACTACCCCTGAACCTCCAAGTATCTGCCAGGCTTCACTCCCTGTATGCACGCATGCAGCGCTAGAATCGTGCCTCAATGCCGCCTTCAAATTCGAAGTTGCTGCCGTGCCATTCCTGTGTCGCTGCTGTTCATGGTATTTAGGCTGTCCTTTTACTTTTCTTACGCTATCATCATTCATTGAATGCGTAGGATTAGAGGACGCCGAGTCCGACTATAATTGCCATGAGGAGCCGTTTGGGCGTACTACAGCCACGACTCAACTGCGCTTTGTAGGAATGTAATCTTTGGGGTGAACTCTGCAATTGCAGCGGGATAAAGTTCACAGCTTTTTGAAGTGTCGTAGCCATAACCCCCGAAAAAGCAATATCGATACCCGAGACCCCAGACGAACAAAATAATATGCGTTGGGAGGCGAAGAACTCACTGCGGAGACGCGCCACCAGCGGTTGTGGTGTCTCATAGAGTTGCTGCTCGGCTTTGGGGTTGGCATCTGCCAGAGTGGTTCCGCTTTTTTCCTGCCTGCTTGCAGCAAACGTAATAATGCTGCTGCTGCCGCGGCTGCTGCTGCTGCTGCTTTGACAGTTCTTGCTTTTGCTCTTGCAAGTTGTTTTATGCTACAGTTGCGGGCACTGTGTTTCTTGCCAGCTGCGGTTGTTGTTGTTGTTGTTGTTGTCGTTGTCGTTGTTGTTGTTGTTGTTGTTGTTGTTGTTGTTGTTGTTGTTGTTGGTGTTGTTGCTGCTGATGT